AAATTATCTAGTTCCACTCCAAAGTACTAATTGATGAGCAAAATTCAATAGATTTAAACCACCAGTGTTTACCTTAAAAGTTATATTTTTTTAAAATACAAATTTTTTTTTTATTGAAATTCAGAATTAAAAATAAATTATTAAAAATAAGTTTATCAGAATTAAAAAAATGTAAAAACGGAATTTTCGTTGTTCCACCTTACACCTGGCTATGTGGAATTCAATTTAGTCAAGTTCTATGTAATAATTTAAAGCCTATGAAATTCAATAGTGATGAAGTCTAATATGAAAAAGAGAAATAAAAATAGAGAAGATGAAGCAATAATTAGAATTTATTCAATACTTGTTTCAATTTTTAAAAAATTAAATTTTTTATTTTTGATTTTTTTTACTTTTATTACTTTGTTTCCACTTTGAGAAATATAAGTCATTCTTACCATGACAAGAGATTAAGAAAAAAAATGTAACATTTTATCTAAGCAAGTTATTCTTAATTTATTAAACCAAAAAAAAAAAAAAAAAAGTTATTCTTATTTTTTTTTTTTTTAGTATATATATTTGTGATTTTTCCTTGAACTCCCAAGACTCGATGGAGACTGATATATATATATATATATATATATATATATATATATATTTGTAAGCATTATTTAATGAAAATGACTAACAAGGGATTGACCCTATTTCGTCGTGACGCATTAGGTGTAAGGTTCAATTCCTTTTGGTTGCAAACAATTTTTTTGATGCTGGAAGGACACAAGTTAAATTTATTTTACAACTCAAATTCTTTGGGTGTGAAAAGAGGAAATGTTATATATGTAGGTGTATCACTTTAATTGATATAAAGCCTTTTGGGCTAAAACTCAAGCGCAAAGCAATATGAACTCGAGGTTCAAAATGGATAATATCATAACATATAATGGAATGACTCGTAACAAATGATATCATAGTCTGACCCAACCGAAAGTGTGGTCAACAAGGACGTTGGCCTCAAAAAAGGTAATTGTGGCGATCTTATAGACAAGTATGTCATGAACAAGTGCAAAAGACACTGACAAATTACCACATTCGAGCAAGTTCAGATAAATGATAGGGAGTATAGTTCACATGTGAACAGAAATAAACAATATGGTTAACATGTGAAGAGAACTTATAAAGAATATAATTAATATGTGAACAGAACTTGTCTTGTTAATATATATGAACAAGTGCAAAAGACACTGACAAATTACCACATTCGAGCAAGTTCAGATAAATGATAGGGAGTATAGTTCACATGTGAACAGAAATAAACAATATGGTTAACATGTGAAGAGAACTTATAAAGAATATAATTAATATGTGAACAGAACTTGTCTTGTTAATATATATATAACATATACTGAATTTATTCGTATTTTAACAATTATGAGGTTTGTCTGCTTTTTAATCAGTTCACGTTGCTAAAGAAATGCCGTCATTTTTGAGATCCACACAGGTGATGGACAAAAAAACACAGAAACAAATTATTGTGATGTATGCGTGTGGAAAATGACTGCACGGGTCGGTTTGGCCTTTTAATATTTTACAATGTAAACAGTGTAGTAATTGAATAATGTTGCTAACACATAATCAAGTGTTTTATAATGAGAAAATGTGATTACTTGAGCCTGTTAATACACTATAATAATTGAACAACGTTGATAATAGATAATGACATGTTAATTCCGTTTGGTGTGAATTAGCAGTGGCAATTGAAATTCGTGAATCATAATCTTATCATATCAATGTAAGGATATTATATTAAATAGGTAAATTCAAATTCAATACATTTAATAATCGTATCAAAAATTCTCAACACTAATCCAACCTGTTTATTAAACGGGTAAACGTAATAAACCATTTAATAACTTGTTTATCAAAATAATACATTTAATATTTAATTAAATAATAAATAATAGAAATTTTTTGTCACAATTAATCCCAATATTCAAAATAAGAAGAAAACTGTTGAAATGACTTAACTATTCATAATAATTGGGTTTAAATAGGTAACATATTACATAGGTCACATTCACGATTATAACATGTTAAATTAAATGGGTCATAAACGGATTACACGAATTGAACCTCTCAACTCTAACCCGACACGGTTAAGTAAACGAGTTAATCGTGTCAACCTGTTTATGACCTGAATTCCTTTATAATCAATCCAAACCTATTTATCACGTGTCGTATTCGAGTTGTGTTGGCGGAACATGTCGTAATTTGTCCCCTCCAATGTGAATGATCCAGCCAAGTTTTAACAGTTCGGCTCGTGTTGGACTTTGTTATAGTATAGATATTCATTAAAATAACAAAATCGCACAAAAAAAATCTCCTTCACGAGCAAGGGCGAATTCAAGAATTGTCAATGGGGGGGCTAATATTAAACAAGGGAATATTGGGGATCCAAAGATTAAAGAGTTAGAAAATTTTAGAGGAAATAGGGTTAGACTTTAGAAGGAAAGAAGGAGAGAAGGAGTGAGCTCTTTAATTTTTTCGATGATTAGAAATTTAGGAGTTTTTAGTGCTTTGACTTAGTGATTGTTTAAGGCTTGTTTAGCTTGGGCCTATTTAGTTGGGCCTTTGTTTTAAAATTGTAACTTAGATATTGGACTTGTTTAGATGGATTAAAATGGAGGGGGACTAATACTACTACTATATTTATTTTATTTTATTTTATTTATTTATTTTTTTATTATTATTATTTTTTTAACATTGGGCTAAATATACCTATGCTAATTTTTTTTTTTTTTTTTTTTTTTTGGGGGGGGGGGGGGGGGGCGGCAACTGTTCACAAGAAAATGATTCTTTTTCTGATATATTACAGGTTGGTAATGGTAGGATTTGTTAGACTAAAACTATTAAGTATTTCAATAGTATCTTATACAAATGACATAATATCATTTAAATAAAATAACAGCATTAATATATGCATATTTTTGTAAGATCCTATCAACCACCTCTCTTCTCAATATATATATATATATATATATATATATATATTTGTCTGATAAGCATCTGTTACCTAATTAATAAAACCATATGTTGTTGAATAGTTGGTAATCGATTTATGCATTTTCTTCGACTCATCTGTAAACAAAGTATAAAAGCTCAAATACATCTAATTGCATGCAAGCCAATCTATATCCCTAGTTCCACTCCAAATTATTAATTGATAAGCAAAGTTCAACATTTATAGATTTAAACCACCCATGTTTAATTTTAAAGTTATATTTTAAAAAGGTACAAATTTTAAAAATTCATATTAGAAAGGTATTCATTTCAAAGTTCAATGACAAAATTAACATTAGAATAGGAGAATGCACTTAATACGTTCGGATCAACATCCCAGAGTTTCACGCGGCTGATTGTAAGAGATCAATATTGATAAAATACGAAAAAGAGAAATGAAAATAGGGAAAATGAAACAAAAATTAAATTTTATTCAACAATTGTTTCAATTTTTAAAAAATTTAATTTTGATTTTTTATTTAATTTTATTTTATATTTTCATTACTTTATTTCCTCTTTGAAAAATATATGTCATTCTTACCATGATGAAAGATCAATATTACCATGTAAAGAAAATGACTAACAAGGGCTTGACCCTGAATCCTCATGAGACATCACGTATAAGGTTCAACTACTATTAAGTTAGGTGTAAACAATTCCTTTGATGTGGTGGGCTCAAGTTATATTTATTTTACTATCCATAATTCTTGGGGGTGAATAAATAAATATTTTGTAAAATTTTTTGGGGTTAATTAAAATTTTGTATGAGTATTTGGCCAAAAGTTAGTTCATTTACAAAAAAATGCAAAACTTTTTTTGTAGGCATAAAGAAGAAATTTGGCAAATTTTGGGTGCTCTTGCTCCGCCCCTTCTTATAGCAGCTGGTTTGAATAATTTAGTCCACGTTGTTTTTATAATAAACATTTTAAAGGAAATTGTTTATGATTCCATTGGCTATATATATACCCATGCTATCTCCCTTTTATTTCAAGCCAACTCTTCCTTCTTTTCCTAGTAGCTAATATTCATTTTGTTCCCTTCGTCACTGTTCTACACAGCTCTTCAACTTCTTTTTGGTATGTTAAGTATTTTCCATTCTTTTGGCTATTACATATGCAATCTTTTTATTTTCTAATTTTGTTTTACTTTTCTTTATTGATCCTCAAACGTTATATATATATATATATATATATATATATATCAGCATTAATTTTATAGACAGAGATGGGTAAGTCTCTGTTCTTCATATTCACGTAACAAGAGAAAAAGAAAATAACTTCTCCACCTATATTATTATTGATTCGTCGGCAACAATATTTACGCCTTCATTCCATAATCTTTAAGAGTAATTCTCTAAAAAAATTAGCGAGAAGTTTCTAAGAATTATAATTTGATTAAACTTATGGAGACACACCTCCAAAAAAAATTAAGGTAAAAGGTTCAAGTTTGTTGAACAAATAATAATAAGCTCCCTCATCTTCACTAAGTTTTATAAGTATGATCTCTGAATTCTCCTTTCGAAATATACATTAAGGATATATTTTAGTATATGTAAATTCGTAGTTTATATTTATATATTACAAAAGAGTATATATAGTCCAATGGTATGATTTCTCCTCTCCCTAAGACAAGTAGGTTTGTGAGTTTGTTTGTTGTTAATAATTATTAAAATAAAAATAATAAAAGAGAAGTCTAAATGCCGTGCACATCCTTAAATACTTCACTCTCGATCCTATTGGTAACTAGTTCATTAATTAATGATCTGTATTCCTCCGCAACCAATTATGTCTTTCTATTTTTTTCTTGAATTGCATACTTGCACACATATAACACATGACTACACACACACACACACACACAAACACACACACATATATATATATATATATATATATCGCCTTTTGATTTAATTACTTTCTCATGCAAACTTGAAGTACTAAATTCATTTATACCTTAAGGACTCCATGGCGAATGAGCAGAAAGTTACTTTCGGGCCACATGGTGGTTCAGGAGGGGAACCTTGGGATGACGGAACCTACAACATAGTAAGGGAAATAATTATATACTCCGCCTCTGAGATTAGAACCATCCATGTTGTCTATGATGATGGTGAAGGAAACCCAATTAACGGAAAAAAACATGATCGTAATAGCGGACAACAAAATACGGTAATACATATATGTGCAATTTGATTTTCAAATTCGCAACTCATGCACAAATTTATTTGATTCTATTTTTGTCATGCCTCTAATGTTTTTTTGGAAGCTACCTAGTTAGACAAATCAGTGTCTCAATATATATATATGTCTGACTATACCATTTTGTGGAGGCTCCCTTGAAATAGATTCCTTTCTCCATCACTTTTTTATTTTAGTGAGGCTATCTATGCTAAGAAAAAAAAAATTGGCTAGTTACCCAACGTGCAACAGACGAAACTTTCAAAATAGGAAGAAGGACAGTAGTAATTGTAGTGAATGTGAAAATATTACAAATCAATACTGGTTCGTATATTTTTAAGTATTTATTTTTCTTATCTTACTTCTTGAATAGTATATTATTTTGCAATTATTATTATTATTATTATTATTTTGTTTGGATTGATTTGATGTGATATTTGTCATTTGTTAGTTTATTTTTTATTTTTTTTCATGAAGTACAATGTGCCCCTCTTAAAATAAAATCTTGACTTCGTCCACATAAAAAGATACATGTATATCTTAGAACTCCAAAATTCACATTACGAAGTATATATATATATATATATATATATATATATATATATATATATACTAACTTGTAAATTTGTGACGCGAATTTGTTTCATTCCAATTTTGTTTTGCAAATCGTGGACCTAGATTCTAGTATCTATTGTAACAAGGTATTGTAGTGTGGTTTGAGAAAACATGGAAAGACAAAATAGAAAGTTTGAGAGAAAAAAAATCGTGGGCTTTAACACTTGTAATATCCAATTTTTCACGTAGGCAAATATTTTTGTTGATCTTCTATCATTTTCCTAGCATTTTATTCTTTCTATGATTACTTGTGATGTCTAAGTTTATCCTTGTTTTATGATTACTTGCAGGTCAAATTAAACTATCCTTCTGAGTACCTTGTCTCAATATCAGGGCACATAGAGAACAATACAGATCGTGTTGTGAAATCTCTTACATTACAAAGCAACATAAGGCAATATGGACCATATGGTAAGGAAGAAGGAACTCCTTTTATGAACCCGATAACTTCTGGCAAGATTGTTGGATTCTTTGGAAGGCAAGGTGATGTTGTGGATTCGATTGGAGTATACATTAAGCCATTCCAAACTATAATACCTAGTAGTGTCGGTCCATTTGGAACTACTGGCGGACAATAGTGGGATGATGGAATTTACAATACCATAAGGGAAATAAATATACAATCTGGATGGTTAATTGATTCCATCCAAGTTGTTTATAATGATATTGAAGGAAAGCCAGTATCGGGCAAAAAGCATGGTAGTGACGGCGGACAACAAAATACGGTAATATATATATATATATATATATATATATATATATATGCATGCAATTTGATTTTCAAATCTACGAGTCATGCACAAATTAATTAGATTTTATATTTGTCTTGCCTCCCATGTTGTGTGAAAAATAACTAGCTAGACAACATAACATTAAAAAAATTAAAAAAATAAAAAGGAAGAATAAAAAAGAAAATGGCATAAAAGCCACGGTTAAGTATAATATTCCATTTAATACATTATAATAGTAACAAAATTTTCCTTTTTTTTTTGTTGAAAATATTAGTACTCAAGCTTTCATTTATGGAAACATGAATAACATGCATACTTACGCTTTTTCTTTACCAATATAACTTATGTAGGTCAAATTAGACTACCCAGATGAATTTCTGCTTTCAGTTTGGGGGTACCATGGACAAGTTGATAAAATGGTCGTTATTCGGTCACTTGGATTTCAAAGCAACAAAAGAACATATGGACCGTTTGGCGTGGAGGATGGAGAAAATTTTGAATTTCGGTCCAATGCTAGTGGCAAGATCATTGGATTTCATGGAAGGTCTGACAAATATCTTACTGCAATTGGAGCATATCTCGACAAGTGAGAAAAATATTTAGACGATGATCACGAACCATCTTTTCCTCATTTTTAATCATTAATAATTTAATTCCATTTGCATTCATTGCAATTATAATAATAGATGCTCTGTGTTGTCTTTAATGCTTGGTGAAAGTGGTTAAGTCAACACAAACTTGTATCTCTATTTGTGATTTCAAGTAATTTTCATGTTTTCTTGTGTCTTAAGTCTGAAAGTTTTGGTTGGTTATATATTTTATGAAATTGTGTCAATCCAGTGATAAGATGTCATATGTTATCTCTTGGTGTTCTTTATGACAAATTTGTGTTTTTTTATAATAAATTGATGGTTGTTCTTGCAAAAAAAAGTATCTTGTTGGTTATGAAAAAATTTATGCTCTCTATTTGGTTTAAGTATATGGTTTGATAAATCACATGACATTGGATCTATTTTTCAGATGGATAACTAGTATAAATATCTACCTAATCCAAGATTCCAAACTCTGTTTATAGCCATAATATATCATTCATACCTCAAAAAGGAAAATATATATTTAAGGGTAAATTACAGTGACACGCCATTGAGATTTGCCATAATGACAGTCATAAATAAATTGGACATTTTCTGAACAATGACACCCCCTCAAGTTTGAAAATGTTAACAAAGACACCCTTGACACATCTGACATGATGAAATGACCTTATTACCCTATGGCACATTAAATTATCAATTTACCCAATGTCACTCTTTTTGATTAACTTGATTGACTAAAATATCTTTCAAAATTAACATATTCTCATAAGCACCACCACCATTACTTCACAGCCCCACCTACACGCACTACCACCACCACTTCACACCATCCTATTGTTTATATCTTCTTTTATGTCACAACTAAGAATATATATATATATATATATATATATATATATATATATATATAAACAGAGTAGATATATGTTATAACAAAGATAATAATAATAATAATTAACAATTTTTTTCTAGATTTTTTTTTTTTTTTAAAGCACGATTAAAATGATTTATTGGAATTTGAAAGGGTAACAAGAATTTTATTTTGCAAATCACTTTTAATAATCAAAGAGATATAAGTAGTGATAAATACGAATTTTTATAAAATTTGGAGAAGTGAAATTTAATCTTTCAATACAAAATAGGGTATCATTAATAGAATTTGACCATATGATTAAAGTATAGCAGGTAAAAGGGCATGGGATATGGATGTGCTGTGACACTCTCTAATTTCCACATATAAGTTGACTAGACCTGTATATAAAAATTAGGAGTTATCACACACCTATAAATAAACAAGCATAAAATACAATATGCAATAATAAAAGAATTAAAGGCAGCAGAAATAACTATTATTAAATAAGCTCAAACATCCACAAATACTTAAACTTCATTTATTACAACTCGAGAATCCCGTAAAACAAGGACCCTAAATCCAAATCCAAAATCCATAAAAATATCTATAGAGTAATATCAAATCCCTACTTTGTGATAACCGGAAACGAAAGGATGATGAAGACTAAAGCTATAATGAACGTAATCCTTAACCCTGTGGCTGAAACTGACGTGTATCCGAAATAACAACAATAGGTTAAACTCATGAGTAAATCCTTTCTACTACAGCAAAAACAGAGAACCGATAAACCCAATAAAGAACAAAACCTTTAACGCAATATCCATAACATGTAAAAAGAAATTATAAGTATCATCCATGCCAATTGATCATACCACGAACCCAGACAACTCAACCATGCCTTGTCAAATCATCGTACTTGTGAGACTGTGTTAATAGTCAGCCCACTATGGTTCCACATCACAATCGATATCCACAATATGATAAGCATCATTTATAATGCATATATAACATGGAATTATTTTATCTATTCCAATTAATGATTTCGGTGAAGCACAATACCTTACGCGAACTACTCTAAGGTCGAGCTTGGGTCCAGGGGTTCGAGCCTATGACAAAACATCACTATTTCAAAAAATTATCGAATTTTAGGGATTAAAACACACCAACGGGCCAGTGGCCTAGCTGTATCAGACCCTTACTTCTCAAAGAGTGGTCAAGGGTTCAAGCCTCAGTAGAGACATGTGTGAATGAGTATCAACTATGAAAAAAAAAACACATATGCAGGAAATATGAGTTTCATTCAATTGAAACTAGATTTTAGTCGGCTGAAATCACAATTTTAGTCGACTGAAATCACCTGAGCATGAATTATTTTATAGGCTGAGGGTTCTCATACTAAAACATAATAATTTAAGACTGGTTTTGAAAGTTTGAGGCAAGAACAATGAATTTAAACAAATTTAAACATGAAATTATAAGTATCCAAAAACGTAACTAGGGTTCAAATCGAAATCGATAATATCAAAGCATGAATCACAAATTTAATTTATAAATTTAGAAATTTACTAAAACGTTTTCAAGTTAAGTCCACAACTTCATAATCAAAAGGAGTTTATGACTTAAACAGTGTAATTACATACGGATTTCAATTTTAGAAGGTGAAAATTTTATAAGTTCAAAAGGAACAAGAAGAGCAAGACTTGCCAAAGGAATTATGAGCAACACTATGCAAATCACAGTCCTCTCCGGATTCCTTTCCTCGAATCGGCAATCTTGGGTCTTAGTCGCAACTAACTCTCTCCCTCTCTCTTTCTCGCTCATTCTTCTTCTCTCTCTATTTATACGTATAATGTGTATATACCAAAATTGTTATATTAGGATTAATACTATATGGTACTCAGGTTTAAATTAAACATGAGCCCACCAAAGTCCAAATAGAAAATCCCAGGCAAGCCCAAATAACCCCCAGTAATATTAATTCCAACCGAATAAACATAATCTAATGCAAAATAACACTTAAATATACAAAAATATAAATAATCTCATTTAATAATTTATTTAAAAATATTGAGTATTACATGTGAATCACGAGAAAAACTTCCTTACACATACTAAAGAAAAGAAAAGGCTTAAGCCTCTAATTAATAAAAACATCAAGGGGGTAAACCCCTGCTATACAAAAAGATTCCAGAAATCTCAATCCCACACGTATTAAGGCAAAAAAAATAGTAACACCCAATTAACATAAAGAATGAACATTGGCATACTTTATGTTAACTGGATTTGCGGACCTTCTTGGTTTCCATTGGCGTAGTTTACATCAACTTGAATTAGAGGAGCTTTTTGGTCTTTAATGACAGAGTTTACATTAACAGAACTTCGATCATATGTTAACGTATTGCATTTGTATGACAAAAGTACTCTTTCTCCAAATATAAACAATAGAACCACAAAACATAAGCTAATAATTAAGTGCATTTAACACTTCTATAGTATTCTTATACTGCATATACACCTCCTAATGTTCACTGAAAGGCAATGTTTAAAAATGATGAAATTAGTACCAAACGCTTATCCACATCCCCTTTTATATATACTAGCATTTTGTATCGATTGAGAATGATCGAGATGAAGAATTCAGTGTCCCATTCATTGCAATATTGGTTTGCCTAATGTTGTAAGCTTAGATATAACCACTCACAAGTGCACGAATCCATGCAGATAGGGCTTCTTGTAAGGGTGTTGTACCCAAGAGACTTGTATTAATTAATTTGTTAACAAACTTCTTAAATTCTAAATTAGCTTATAGTAGGACAAACAAGTTTTGATGATTTAATCTAATGAACTAAATATAAAATTAAATTAAAAAATAATTAAATTAGATAAGGAAAATATGAGAGAAAAGACTAAGGATATGATTTCACTACTAACGTCGCACTACTAGTCAATTGCATCAATTTATTAGAGAGATATAAAACATACATAAGAAATTAATCATGACTACAAGCACATATTAATTCAGCTAGAAGATAATATAAAATTAAAGCTAAGCATGGACTATCTTCGATTAACATTAACCATCTACCTAACTACTCTACTGTAAGGTATAGTGTGGTCTATCTTCTCTAAGCATAATCCATCAATTCCCTGATATTATATTCAATAAAAAAACCATTGCATAACCATCTCATTCATAACTACAAGAAGTAAATAAGTTGTATTCAATCACAAGCATTAAATACCCAAAACAAGATATAAAATACTTTGCAATTGAATTAAAACTTTAAAACCGATTTCTATTGAAAAGTCAAGTAAAAATCCTCTAAGTTATACAATCATGCACGAAAAATATTGTTCTCCAATAAATAAATACAATCCGACCAGTAGTGCTAAGCTAGGGCTACATCACAACCCTAGCAATGCTTTTAGCCGCTCATGACTGGAATGGAATTCTTCTTGGTTGGGGAAGACATCTTCGCCGCAATAGGTTGATCCCTTCTTTCTTCTCCTCCGATATCAGCCTCTAGCTTCTGTGTATATGATGATTTCTCAATGGTGTAGAGAACTCTCTTTAAATAAGATAAGAATAGCCTCAAAGTTACCTTTTCTAAATAAGATATAAATAAAAATTCTGCCAAACTCAGACTCCAAACTTTGTGCTGACTTCCAGCCCAGTATTGACAAGGTAAACAGCTGTTTCACGAAATTCGCGTGAAATACAAAATTATAGATCTTCGAATTTCCTTTCAATTAATGCAAAAGTTGAGCCATTTTGGTACTCGAGGAAAGAGATACAGACAGAATACCAAAATGGGTTCAAGTTCCCAATTTTGGAGAAAGTTCCTAGTTGGAGAATGATTCTTCCTTTTCTTCTTGTTTTTATTCTCATCAACTTGTGGCTTCTTTTGGCTTATTTCTAAGTCTAATTAGACTTTGATCTTCATTATAGCTTAGCCCAATGGATCTGGTCTTCTATCCTCTTGGATATCATCTTTTATAGCCCAAAATTACTGATCTTTACTAATATTATGATTAAAACCTTGAAATAAAGAAACACACTAAAATAATATAAAATCACAAATAAAACTACTATTAAAATAATAAAACACCAAGTTAAGGGGCTAAAATGTATAACATTCAG